CCAATAAACCTCAGTATACTCTGTTTAAACCAGTAAGCGCTATAGCCACACCATTCCCCTGTGCTGTGTCAGTAGTGCAGGACAGCAGTGTGTGTGTGTGTGTGTATTCGTCTTGATGTGGTCACATGCGTTGAGCGGGCTCGGGGCTCGGGACAGGGTTTGTGGTGCGCGCATGAGAGGAAAAACTGACGGCAGTGTCATTGCGACCTTGAAGCAAGGTCGTCCAGTCTCTGCTGCAGACACTGCAATTCTGCGGGGCTGCATCACACTGGTGCAGAGTCTGCACTATGATCACGTTAGAGGCGAAAGCGGTCATGATGTATTCATTAGATTCACTCAAATAGCGGGAAACAAATGATTTCTAAATGTTTTAACATTTACTGCCGTACCATTTTCTAAACGCAGCTGTCCTCCTTACGACAGTGTTTGGTCGTTGGGAATGTCTGTTCCGGCTATGGTTGAGCAGTAGAAACATATTGTGAATGCCAGCTGGGGTCCCCAGGGTGCTTCTCACAGCAGGTCGTGACCTCAGACAGGTGTCAGCGGAGTGGTTACACGAATACAAACCATTGTGCCTATAGTACACGAATAGCATTAGGTACTGCATAACTGAGTCATAGATAAAGAACACCCTCCACTTGTACTAAAACACTTTATCAGTAATCAATACTGTGAAAAACTAAAACATATTTAGGCTACTACAATGCTTCCTTTGCTTTTGCTTTTTTTTCCATATTGATCCATATTGAAAATGTTTTTGCAATTACTCTATAGACACTTTCTCTTGTTGTCCATTTGATGTCTGTCATGCATGAAAACCACCATGTGGCTTTATTTTTAGGCCTGCATGTGTAAATACTGTTATCATCAAAATCCTTCTTCTTTCATATGATTGTAGTACTAGCATTGAAATAGAGCGAATACCGTGAGTTTTTAGTACTTAACTACCATCATGATGAGCAGCTGGCCCACAGCTGACCTAACAGGAGACTGGATGAATAGGTGACAACAGTGACAGGTAATAAAGTCAACTCAAGGGAAACTATTGTTTTTCAAGCTACTTTACTTTGTTGTTACATTGACACATGCTCTTAATGTTTACACAGCCTATATCAAAGGGCAGAGTAACAGTAAAACAGGATTGTGCTACATTCTAATGAGTGTCATTTAAAGCTAGTATCTCCAAATGTGGCTCCTCCTCAAACAAAAGGCTCACTCAGTGTATGTTTGTGTGTATTTATGTAGAGGTTTTCTTTAAGCTGTCTCATGAGGATGCATCACCCATTTGATGATCAGAAAAATGTGGCCATCATGAACAGCTTCAGTGTTTGTCTCTAGAAAGACTCTATCACTGCAGTCCATCTCAATCTTCTGCTGAATAAAATACCTTCACAGAATCGTATTGCAGGAAATTGCAGAAATAACATCCAGTTCTTTTTTTTTATTTTTTATTTTAGCGATTGTTCCCTTTGTCTCTAGGTCAGTAGTGTAGCCTACATCAGCACTACAAACACTATCCATTCCTCTCCCCCTTCTGGCAGCACAGTGGAACTACAGCGTCGATACTGATGACGTTACAGCAGCTGAGTGTGTGTCCTCCAGTAAAAGGTCACCCACTGCCACAGCTCATCATCACTGACTGCTGACTTCCTGATCACAATGCCAGAGCACAGAATTTAATTTTTTTACATTTATTGCAGGAGAGTTTCAGGTTTCAACGCAGTAGAGGATTATGCACCTGATCTGTGCCTCTTGAGAACAGTCTCCTGATAATATATATAAACAGGACAGCAGATAAAAGTAATCTGACATTTTGTCTAATTTCAAAAAATAGGATGGTCACTAATAAACTTATTATATGCAAGTCAATATCAGATGAAGTCTTTGGGTGTATGGAAGTATAGCTATACTTTTACATGTAAGTTAGCTGGGGCTGTTATGGGTCAGAAACATGTCAGTGTGTGCCATCTGCTGGTTGTGTTCAGAGAGAAAATAATAAAGATGAAATGCAATCATTTAGGCGGGTTATTGTAACTGAGTGTCTTCAATGTTCTTGTGTCAGATTTTTTGACATGAAGGTAAATCAGATTTTTTTTCAAATCCAGTTTAACAAAAACTGAAGCGCGGACTAAAGATCTGCAGCCCCAGCTCACTTCTTGCTGCACCATATTTGTCCTTGAAGCCATTTTCAGATAGAAACACTAAGGTAGAGTTCCCAGGAGAGTATCACTTACATGGATCAACAGAGGACTGCCAGGACATGCTTAAAGGGCCACATTGACAACTCGTAAGGTATTCATATACTGTACTTTTAGTACTACATTTATGATATTTAAGTCCTGCAGGACATGTTTGACCTGCTTAAAATGATAAGCTTTAAAGTCAGACAAATGTCTTCTCCTTCATCATAAAATTGTTGGACGTTGTCGTCTTGTTTTCTGAACAAAATTGAGGCCCATTTTTTCCAGTTTGACTTGAAAAACATAGGCTCCTGTTTAGAACTGATATACTGCCTGTCGTCAATTTTAACCCTCATTTTGATTATTTCTTTCACAATCTAAATATGGCAGACATTTTCTTAAGGTTAGAAACCTCAAATGCTGTTATAATGTTAATGCTGTGTTCTAGGTTGTGCTATATGCTGGGAGCCTAATTTACAATCCTTATCACTTCACCATTTCTTGATAGGCCTCAATGTGCAACTGAAAAGACAATTGTAGAAATCTGGAAGAACATAGGCCATGTATATTTAAATGTAGGCTAAATCTTGTTTTTTTTTTCATAAACACTAGTTTGTAAAACTAAAGTTGAAATTCAACAACTTGCAAGATACTCTTGAAGCTTGATTGTGTTGCAAGCTATGGTTGCAAGGTACTAAAGGAGGGAATTCATTTAATTAACAGCAATGCCAGCTAGTTTGTTTCATAGACTACTAATGCTGCTAATGTGACATAGCTGTCCAATTGAGTTTATAAAAAATCAACATGTCGTTTACTATGTCACACCAACAGTGGATTTAGCTAAGAGGAGGTTGATGGCTCATTTTAGCTGTAGTAGCTTAGTTAAAGCTTGAAATTTGTGCACTGATTTCCCCAACTTTCCCAGCACATCCTTTGTTGCAGCTGCTGATCAGTCTGGAGGTGTTGAAATGTTTTAAGATGATCAGGTAGCCCACCCTAAAGAAAGAACACACAACACAGCAGTTTTTTTTCTTCATTTTTTAGCATAATTTGGGCTTCCCTTCATTTAGGCTATTTAATTATCTAATTCAGACAAGCAGATTTTTATTGCACCCAGAGGGTTCATTCATTCAATGACTTTGTTGTCCTTTTTCGCCATCATCAGGACAAACTGAATATTGCTCATACATTGGTTAATGACCAAATAGCTGCAAAACTAATGACTCTCTCATTAGCCTCAGAAGTAATGTGTATTTTTTTTTGGCAATTATCAGTTTGCAAATAACAGCATGCCTTCACACTTTACTTAGATGGTATAACATTACATCAAGGGGCCATTGTTAGCATTGTTAGCATAATGATGTTAGCATTTTGCTTAAAACTCTTGTGAGGAGTTTTTATTTGATTATGAAATAGTCTGAAATGAATACTGATTCATCTTTATGACCTACAAAAGTAAATAAGGCCATTATTGACAAGTTTGTTTATTTCTGTAGTTATTTTTATTAGGCTACATGAAGCTGCCCCAACAGGGTATACGTATTGGACTAAATAAGAAATTGCATTGTGCTAAAACAGCCTTTTTAAAAATGTTTTTATCCGACAAAAATTATTTAGTATAGTGAAATATTTTAATGTTAAAGAAAGCAGGATGACATTTGTTTTGTAAGAAACACTGCTTACTTATGTGGTGATCAAATTTAGCACAGATAAGAGGTTTCTCATGGAAGCTTTAAAGCACAGCTGCGCATCCTCACAAAGAAACAAGCATGTCTTTAGGCTCTTCAGCTCGTACTAATGTTAAGTTAATCAAGAAATATTACCTGCTGACACCAAAAGTTGTTTTCTTTTAAACACCCACATGAATAAACAGTCATTCCTCATCAGCGTCTGCCTACTGAGGGTTTTACTTTCCATTATTATAAAATGACATGACATTTTTTTACTAGACAGACCCTCCAAAAACCTTATGAAGAGGCACATAAGACTGGGCTCTCTAAAACTTGGTTAGATTTTGTTGGGTTGAATTTGTAACACATATTGAGGCTCAATCCTGTTATTTGGTGGCTGAGTTATATGTTTTGAGTGTTACAGGGAAAGTTGATAATCTGCAAAATGACTCCAGCTTTGTTCAAAATATTGACCTACTTTTGCATGTAAAAGATGAGGATGTGTCATTCTCAGTATACCAGGGCCAGCAACATGCACATTATCAAACATGGTATGATGAAAGTTTGCTGTTTATACGTTCTCATTTTTCCACGATAAAGAGATTGGCTAACCAGCAGTCATTTAAAGACACAGTGCTGCATTAAGTTACAAAACCTTTATTATATATGCAGTGCAGTAGAGTTACTTTATTTGGCATTCAAATGCAATAATGGTTAGCACACAGTGTTTAAAAAACTTTTTTTTTCATACCAAAAATGAGCCTGTTTAGTACCCGTTAATTGTTGGCAGGATTTAGAAGAGACTGACTCAGACCAGATCAACCTCTCTCCAACATGACATGGCTTTTAGTTTGGTTTAGTGATTAGTAAAAGGCAGGATCCATCATAATCAGAGAGATGTAGTGCATTTCTGATCTGGTCCAGTAGAGAGCAGTAACTCCTCACAAAGTAATGGGAACACAGGCGTAAAATCAGTTCAACATCTTTGATTAAGGCAAACACACTCGCATGCTAAGATCATGTAAGAGCATTCAAATGCAAACCACATGTGGCTAAAGCTTTTTTTTTTATGTTTGTTCTAAAGCTGAACTTATTCACTAATTACTTGCTTCTTTTTGATCTGAGTAGGAACGGGTCTTGTAACTCTAGTCTATGCTTGTGCAGTGGAGTTTATGTGATCTCCTTGAGGCTTCAGTGGTAGATCTAGGACTGGTTTTTTGTTTCCATTGGGTTCCTTCTTGTCCGGGTTCAAGCGGTTGCCTCTGGGGCTTCTCTGTGGTACTGGTCTTCTGTGGCGTCTCCTTTTGGGCTGACGAGAGTGTCCAGAGTTGGACTGAGTGGAATCCAGAAGAGGATCTAAATGTACTTTAACACTTTGAGTATCTGAAGACTCGTCAATAAACGCAAGGTTCTCCCCGAAGTAGTCCAGAGGCTGAGACAGATGGGGTTCTGGAAGAGTCTCCTCCTTTTCAGGCTCTGCAGGTTTCTCTTCAGGTACTCGATCTGTCTGCGTGGCCTGAGAGTCTGATTCTGATGCAGATTCTGATTCATTAGAGGAGGATGAAGAGGACGATCCAGACTCTGATTGACTCCCATGCTGCTCTTCGTTCCCCTCAGGAGCCCCGTTGGCTGCCACACTGTTACCATGGCTGCGAGGGCCGTGACGACGCTTCCTCCGACGGCGTTTGAAGGGGTCATCGATTTTTCCTGGAATGCGGAAATCCACCGACATGTTCTGGATGTTTTGACCCCAGTCTGTGGCATGGGCTCGAAGTTCCTCCATCTAAGAGAGAGGGACGAAAGCAGATATAGTGGACAGGGAGTGGTGGAAACAAATCATGATGGAACAGATACCACAGAAGAAGAAAATGAATCACCTCAGCTCTTGTCTTCTTGGATAAAACCCTAAGCCAGTTACCAATCATTGTAAGGACTGATGCAAAGTAGGCGAGACCAAGCAAGATCCAGAACCAAACGAGAGGCTTGTACCAGTGGTCACTACCTTCGTTCCCAGAATCCCCTTTGACATGAAACAGAGAGTATCACTGAGTTCATGTATCACATTCATCCATTCTTTTCTGTGGAGTATAACATGAGGAGACATTTTATACCAGATTACATCATCAATAATTCAATTCATACCAGACAAAAACCTTTGAATAATGTATGACGTAATGAAAATTGTCTGTGCTAAGTGAACTTAATGCATTATAACTGACAGTTATATTTATGGAGGACTAATTAAGTTGCACATGTAACTCATATTTGGATAGATTAATTGAACAATGGAGGACAAATATAAAAAACAATGCAATTCATATGGAAAAAAAACCAAAAAACTTTATTATTATTAGCATGCCGTTGATGACAAACTGTGGTTTGTGCCCCAGATACTGACATACCTAATATTAAAATGTTGCTAACATGTCAATTATATACTATAACTAAATTTCCGTGAATATTTCTGTCATTAGGCTCAGTAAAACAATAAGTGCACTGTGTATATTATAATACTATTAGCCTTCTTCCTTTAAAACAGAGGATCAAAACATTTATGAATCCAGCATGTAGCTTTATCTCCCCTCTCTCTCTCTCTCTCCCTTTCTTTAATGCAAATGTTCCTTCCTGATCTTTGTGGCTGTTTTCCTGAATGTTAGGGAAAAAGTGTGGCAGATGTAGAATCAATTTGGAAGCTAATAGTGACATGATGTTGCCAATGTTTACACCTTAAAAAAACTAAATTACATTCAAGAAATTTGCAATTGGCGCTTTATTTTCCCAACAATGTTTTGTATCGAAACAGCCATCTCTGTGATCTGTTTTAGCATTTGATGCATTAAAGACTACACACATACATTTTGTGAGAATGGGAACATCAATTTTGAGTGTCTTTTCAAACATCCATGGACCTCTAACTTTGGGGGCTTATACCTGACAAAGGTTCCTTATATGTGCAGTGGACTCTGCACACCACTGTCTGAGTATGATAAAAAATGCACGTTCGGTTGACTCGCTAATTTTAATTTACCTGCAACATAGTCTCCAAACCCAACTGTTGTCAGGGTAATAACCACAAAGTAGGCCGACTCCAAAAGAGTCCACTGCTCCACCTTCTGGAAAACCAGGATAGGCACTGCGACAAAGAGCAGACAGCCCAGCAGGATGGAAAGGACAGCGGAGATCACTCGCACTATGGTCGGACTGACTTTCCATTTCTGTCAGCAAGAGGACAAAACCCAACAGAATGAGACATTTCAAGGGAAGCATGTGTACAGATAAGGCAAAGGAGTTATTAGTCTTTTTAGGGTCTGACCCGGAAGAGAGTCTCTATTTTGAGGACAGCTTTCCTCAGTCCAGTACCCAGATGGTCTCCAACTCCAGCAAGCAGGAAACCGAACATGGGGATTCCCACCAGGGCGTAGAATATACAGAACAACTGCCCGCCTTCTGTCTTTGGTGAGATGTTTCCAAAACCTACAAATGTAAGGTTGAGAAGACAAAGAGCAGATAATTAAAATGCATAAATAGGACACAGTCACAAATATTTCATCAGAATCTTGGAATAATTGGTGCCTATATGCCTATAAGTGGACACTCACCGATTGTTGTGATGATCGTCCCTGAGAAGAAAAAGGCACTGGCCAGATCCCACTGGCTGACAAAGGTGGTGTTGCTGTTGGGATCCACTCCCGCACCCATAGCATCCACCACTTCCTGTGAACAGATGGAGAATAGTTATGAAACAGGAAAGAAACTAATACAGAATCAACAAACAAACAAAACAAAGAGCAATATGCTAAACCTTACAAAAAATACATGCATGAACTAATCAATTAGGTTATTTGATAAAATATAAAATCTTGAAACCCATTGTCTATTATCTGACAACAATATGTATCTCTGGGAGCAATTTCTAAGCTTTCAATAATTCCGATGTAGCCAACAGTTAGCATTGAACAACTTCCAGTCAAGACTTCTTATTTTGTGCTTTGCATTGTTTTACAGTCTCAAATGAACAACTTGAGAAGGGAACCTATGTTCAGATCAAATCAAAGTGAAAGTTGACCCCTCCAGATATGTCTGCAAATCAAACCCTGCCTTTATTTAATTCATTGCATCCCCTGATGTATTGTTAGAAGTGCTGTGCAAACTGCACAGTCACTGCATCAGATCAGACAGTCAGCGACAATGAATAGACAACTCATTCAGTGATGAGTGAATCAGACTGCTGCCAACATAGATCATCAAATTACCTGATCCAATTACCTGATTTGTGTCCATTTTTTACACATTTGTTTACTCTGAATTATTTTCAGCAGAATTTGATTACGTTTGGATTGAATGTGGTCTCTGCAGATATGTTTACTTTTAATGAATTATGAGTTTATGTTTACAGAGCTGTGTCTGTTGGATCGATGCTGCTGTTCGAGTGCATTTTAAACTGGGAAGTCAGTTTTTAGCAAAATGAATGCAGATGATACACTTTTACTTATATCCAAAGAAACTAAAGATTAAAAGATTAAAGATCCATTGTTTTTCAGGGGTGCATTGAACACATTCAATCCTGGGCAATAGGGACTTGACTTTGTGGATGAAACAACTCATACATAAAAATGACAAAGATTTCTACCCCTCAATTGAAAAAAATATGGCTATGGATTTAAGAATTTCAACCTCTTAGTTTTAGAAGACAAAAAGGAACAAAGATTCAGATAAAAAGAATAACACTCTCCAAAAGTTTCAGAAACAACATTTGAAAAAAATTTAAATTACAGTTAACACACAATAACTTTTCCAAAATCTCAGGAAGGAAGCTTCCTGAAAGTGTATACACAGTTTCCAAAAGTTATGTCAATTAAGTTTTTGACAGTTCACAAAAGTTGTCAAATGAAAATTTCAAAAAATGTCTGAAAGAAAGTTTCTAAAAGGTTTTTAAAAAACCCAAACAGAATATTTCTAAAATCCAGTGCCACAAAGAAGGCTTCTGAAAAAAGGTTTTTGACAAAAAAGAGTGGAAGAAAGAAAATAATTGAGTTGTCAAAAAGTCAGAAAAGAATGAAAAGTTGTCCAGAGAGGCATTGCATGGAATGTGACAGCTTACATTACTGAAGCTGAGAACACATTGTAGTAGGAGGGGACTTTTGAAGACCTGTTGAAACATCAGCTGACACAGGTTCAGTGACCTGACTCACAATGCTGCTTGTTAAAATGAACAACATCTGAAAAGTGACTCAGACACCTGCCTGCCTCAATCATGATTCTGACGACTGCAGGTCTGATGTAAGGTAGCATCAAGTACACGTGTTCTGCTTTTTATGTTGATATATCTGTTATTATGGTACCCTTTATCTGAAAAAATCCCTACATTTCTACATTTTATTTGCCTGTTTTTTACTATAGAACCTTATAATATCAGTACGAGCCTTCTGCCTTTGTGTAATCATTATACTGTCACATGTGTTCCAGGGGGTCACCATCCCGCTCACCTTTTGGAAAACTCCTCCCCGCAGCCTTTTATTTAGCTAAATCATATTTAGAATGTTAGCACATTGTTGCTTGAGCAAGGACAATGCATAACTCGTTCGTAATATCTACACTCCAAAGCAAAACAACAGATAGACAAAGAAACTAAAATCTAATTGTGTCTGTTTGTTTAGCTTCTCAAGGCTGCATGTGTTACCTCGCTAGCTAGCTGGTGTACTAGCTAGGCGCAGTCCTTCCCAGTGAGCATTTTAGACGTTTAAAAGAAGTCTATGGCCACCATTGAAAAGACGTTCAAAACTGGTTCAAAAGTGAAAGTTGTTTCAACGTCTACATCTTCAAATGGACATTGAGAAAACGTTCATTTTTTAACTAGTTTTGAACGTCTTATGAACAGCAGACAGGTTCTCACTAGGACCTCTTTATAAAATGGACCGCTACAAATGTTATGATGTTATGATGTCTTTAAAATACATGTTATGTCTCTGCGTAGCTTTAACCCACCACTGCAAAATATATATTAAAGACATGCTGTTAAAATATTCATTTATGTCCTCCTTACAATGCTAGAATGTACAAGTTATTAAAATTCAGAGAAAATGTATTTTTGAGACCCGCTGATGTTATAGCCGTATTTTAACCAGGTGAAAAATGAAGTGAGGTCTTTGATGTTTAGATCTGATTTCAACGTGTTTTTCAATCAAATTTGAATGTTGAAATTCAGATGTTCAGATGTTGAGAATCAAATACAAATTTTTTGTTTTTTACTTTGGTCACTCTATGTTAGCTAACACTAGAAGCAATAAACTACGCCTACTTTCATCTTACTTTGAACACTTGAAAACAAAATATAGACGTGGACTTATGAGGACACACAGTTTACGTCTGCCATGTCCTTCAGACCCTTAAACCTCTTAGTAAATGTCAGCCAACACATCTATATATCACTTTGCAGCTAAAACTGTATTTTACAACGTTTTGCTGGAACGAAAACAAACATATCATCATCACTGTCCAAAAGTGAAGCTCGTAACACTCCACCTATGCATAGATCAGCTTTCATGTATGCAGACACACCTAAAACACACTCTAAAAGCTGAGCCATCTTTACATAGCTCCTATAAAACCATCTGATCTCTGGTCCACAGTCATGATTAACAAGGTCACAAATAGCTTCACTAAACATAGCCAAAAAATCTAAAGAGTTGCCCCGAGGACATCAAACATGATAAGTTGTTTAGTCAGTTCAGTCAGACATCAGGCAAAAAAAGATTTTGCTGCCCCCCAATAACAACCAAACCTGTGACTGTTCTTAAAAGCAGAAATACATAACCAACAGTGAGGGGGAAATGTATCCAAAACATAAGTGCTTAAAGAAAATATTGCATAAATGATTTCCATATTGATATTTTGTGTGGTATTTCAGGGGTTTTATTGGGGAAATAACTAAAAGTAGCTTTAGATTAGTCTGTACAACCAAAAAATAAATCAGCTTAAATCTGCATGACAGTAAAACGAATGAAAATATCTTCAAAGTTAGTCACATGTTGTAGTTCAGACACGTTTCAATCGTTACAAACCATTAAAAGATTATATTCAATTGTACACATTAAGTCTGTGTCCCCAACATGCAGGTCACAAGTCCTGAAGGTTTTCCAAAATCCTTCAACCCTGTCAGGTCTATATGAAAGTCATTTAATTATGATACTTATGATAAAGATCACGTCATGGGTTCATTCCTTATATAATACAGCAATAAGAATTCTGACCATTTGAAAGGATGATAAGTTAAAATTAAATGAGAACCATTGTTTTTTGGAAAATGACCACTAAAATAGTTAAGTGTGTTACTCCATTATAATGCTCAAGCACAGTCATACACAGAAAACCTTAGCGGATCCACACACTACTAAACCCCGCCCAGGAAGGTGTCTTAAAGAGATACTACATGATGCTTCCTTCTGTAAAAGTAATCTATATATTTGTTTTAAATGCTATCAGGCTTGCATTTAAGGGTTGATCTGCCGTACCTCTATAAGTAAGTGAAGATTCTCAGGGCCGACGCAGGTGAAGTTCATCAAGAACTCCAGGCGTGCGTCCTGCAGCTGCATGTGCTTGCCCATCTCTCGTGGAGTCTCCAGGGCACGAAACACCACCGCTCCCAGCACCAGGTACAGGACCACCCCGGTGAGGATGCCGAGCAGGGTAGAGCAACGCATGGATGAACCTCCGCCCAGTCCAAACACAGGCTGCTGCTTCCCTCTGCCAGCCTCTGTGCTGGTGTGACTGGGATCCCAGCTGCTGCAGCTGAAACATCAGAAACCACATGAGCACGAGGGATTTCTACTGACCACAACGCCAGACAGCAAACCCAGCTGTACACACGCCTGCTGCAGACAGACTCTTGACTGTACATGAGGCATTAAATGTACTCAGGCCTTCACCACAGTTCTGCCACATTGTTAATGCAACATCCAAGACAGAACACTCATCATCCACCCTGACACTTTGTACACATGTGGTTGCATTAGTAGAAGTAGTATTTGAATATGTCATGAATACAAATGCATTAATAATAGTTGTGTTTACCTGCTAATCGCCTGTAGCTGCCCACGCCTTTGTCTGTTCCACTCCCTCTTCTCCCCGGGCTTAAGTATCGAATCCCGGGATCCGTATCCACTGGGGAGCCCGTCCACCTCACACTCTGAAGGAGGAGGCACTACAGAGAAACAGACACACAAGTATAAGGTTTATCTTAAACGGAAGGGATGCAGAATGCATGAAAATCTGAAAGATGCTGTATTGGTAAGAAGATAGCTTGTAAAACACTTTAAAAGAAAAAAAATACAGAGGTGTATCAGCACAAGAACATTTTTGAAAAACATACAGAGGCACATGCACACAGACAATTACAATCATAATATTATATTTACATCGTTTAGATAACAGAAAAACTGCCTGTAGTGAAAATAATCCTTGATGAGAGGCAATACTCATGCAGCGTCATACCTTGCCCATGTTGTCAAACCAAAGCACCTGTTTTTTTTTTTTTTTTGTCCTGATGGTTGCACATGATTTGAAACCATCATCTAATAAATCATGTAAGCCTTAAATTAGCGATAAACGGTTAAACTTTGATATTCCACTTACATCTATTAAAACCATAGATGAAAATGAAGATTCATGTCCTCCAGGTGATGTTACTGAGCAGTTATCAGAAAAAAAGTAAAGTGCCCCACCAAATACAGCAGATATGGGGGCGGCTGTGGCTCAGTTGGTAGCGTTGGGGAAGGTCGGAGGTTCGATCCCCAGCTCCTGCAGCAACATGTCCGATGTGTCGTTGGGCAAGACACTCAACCCCAAATTGCTCCTGCTGCTTCGTCAGTGGCGTGTGAAAGTGTATGAACGGGATTAGTTACTTCTGATGGTCTCACTAGCAGCCTCTACCATCAGTGTGACTTGGGGTGTAAAAGTGCTTTGAGTAGTCATAAGACTAGAAAAGCACCATAAGTCCATTTACCATTTACTAAGTAAATTTAGACTTATAATATAATACTTTAAATGTCCATTAAGAAGCGTTGGAGTAAAGATGCCCAGCCGTGAAACCTGGTTTAAAGTGATGATGCTGGTTAAAACCAAGAGGGCATTTTCATTTAAAACTGAAGCCTAGTCTCATCTGCTCTCTGATGTATCTCTAGCTTGTAAAAAATGCAATGCAGTCGAAAAACTGATGGATGTGTCAGATGCTGCCTTTGTCCCGGAAATGTGTTGAATGATTTAAGATGGAAGGGTTTTATCATTTTGGAACAGCAGGTCTGCAACTTTTGAATCATCTCTCTGCATCACAGGACTGCCAAGATTAGGACAAAAAAAACCCTCCCATCTTGTAAAGTTTGGTGACGGCAGCTTTTAACTCTGCAGGTCAGCTGGTCTTGATCCAAAAAAAAGAGCAATAAACTGTCACACAGTGACGGCTTTCCAAACTGTTTAACAGCTGCTGGGAAACACAAAGTGACCGTCTACTTACCAAATTGAATACACTGCAGGCAGAACTTAGTGATGCATGCAAAACTCATAATTATAGTTGCATATGATTCCCATAAAAGCCCTTTTTGTTCATATATTTTCTGCCTTAGCACAACAACCTCAAGAAAATAACACAAAAACCACAAAACACAAGAGTTAGTGGCACTTCATGAATTTCTTAAAACATTTCTTTTTTTTGACAAAAATGTATAGCAGCATATTCTTGCCCATGTAAAAAGGTAAAAAGAACATCCTTGAGTGCATTCTGCTCATCCAACATTTTTTAGGATATACCAAACAAGATGCATTAAACTGAATCATCTAATATGAAGTTAATCTCCTACAAACGTACCTCAGACTGCACCACGGAAAACCAGTCAGATAATAAACCCCCAGACAAAAGGAAATTGCAATGTGGCTTGCATTAAGTGCCAACACTGCTGCAGCAGCCGAGCCTGTGCCGTAGTGATCTCGTTTTATCACCACCTATAGAGTCCCTCAGGGTCCAAAACATGTCTGTTAGTGACCGACGCGCCAGGCAGCCTTACCTCAAAATGAAGGATCATATGAGTCCAGAGGAGCAGTCGCCTCATGCAGAGTGTTTCATGAGTTCATGCAGCCGCTCACAAAGAGTGTGTTTGTGTGGGCATGAATGTGTGTCTGAGTGAGGGTGAGGAGGGAGGCTATTGCTGAGCGCACAAGAGAGAAAGAGATACTCAATCAAAGTGACTTTATGTGGAGTGAGAGAGTGAATTAAAGAAAGCGAGAAAGAGAGCCACATGCTAATGTGAAGGTGATGATGAAGGTTTCCTCAGACTTCAGATCAAATTTCTAGATTACAAGAAGATAATTTCTAAACAAACTCTTGTGCAGCTTTATTTGATCAGTGTGAAACGTTAATATTGTGAATAACATTTGTATTTGAATATTTGTACAGCATTTGTTGCTGCAGCCATATCTGTTGTCCCTGCTCCTCGGGGATCAATGTTATGAGATTCCTAGAGGTCTGATTGGTGTTTCACTGCAGACTCTGCAGAACTCAGCCACCCTGATCTCTACGTCCAATCTTTCTCACAAGCAGTCTGACAGAACTGCTGCTGCTCTCTTTCAGTGTGTGTGTGTGTGTGTGTGTGTGCATTTTTTTTTTTACAGGGGTGTGTAAAAGGTTTCTTCAACAGATCCAGAGAACTGAAGTGAACTAAGGCATACGGAAATTTCAGTTGCAGATTTCTGATCCTGGTTTCAAAGTTTAAAAGAGTAATTAGCTGAATTATGTCAAATCAGACTATGATTGATTGCTTATTGATAAAAGCTTACTGTACAGTAGTTTGATTGAACTGTACTTGAGCTACAATCTTTTTGGCCCACTTGTAAACTTCTCATAATTTTGTTTTTCTTCCTAAATTTTTAGCTAAAAATGCATCAAATACTTGCCTGTGGTTCAATAAAAGCCAGTCTTGAATAAGAACCCAGAGAATTGCTGAGAAACAAATATGGCTGGTCCCAAATACAATCAAAATTAAATCCATGGTGGGTAGACTTCAGAGGGCTTTCATTTAATCTACAACAAACATGGTAAATGGTAAATGGACTTGAATAGTTATTTTCTAGTCTTCTGACTGCTCGAAGCGCCTTTACACCGCAGGTCACACCTACCCATTCACACACTGATGGCAGAAGTGCTTTTGAAACGGATGAAAAAGAAACTCTGCCCTGGGATGTCGTTTTATTTTAACATGTTAGTGTGCCAACATTTACAAGTGTGAAGCAATATTTTAGCTGCATACTTAAACACTTTTTAGTAACTTTATACAAGTATTTTTTTGGTGCATTAAAAGTTTGTATTGCCACCCAAATATTTGCTAAATGTATCGCTATTGTAGTGCTACAGTAATGATATAACTAATAGCTAGATTGAAGTTGACTATCAGACAAACAGTCAGCACAGACAGATAACCACGAGTATAAAGCCAAATGGGCGAATATCCAAAATGCGAGTTCAGTAAGAGCCAACAACCCTGGCTCTGTAGATCAAATCTTTCTGCCTGTTACTCAGCTAAACAAGAAAACACAGACCGAAATACATGCTGAAAAGACTCCTGCATCTTGTAACTGCACATAATCACCAAACGCATTGATCTGTGTAATAAATCATAAAAAAAATAGCTCGTGTCAGCATCAGAACTTTGGATTTAAATGACTGCTTTTACAGATAATGGCTTCTGTTGTCAGTGATGCTCATGTTACCTCCTGACAGGATCAATGTTGTTTCTGACCACAGGGGAGTCTTAATAGCTGCAGGGTGGGGGAAATGAGATGATGGTAATTTAACAATAATTAGTCAAACAATCCTTCAAGTTTTAATTTGGTAAAGATAAGGACTGAAAATTATATCATTATCAACCACACTAAGGGACTCTGGTGAATGGAACATGTTTAAATGATTACTGTCTGTATGTTTATTCCTTTAACAGCGACCTTGCTATGTTGTTTGTTCAACCTTGAAGTTTCTCTTTGAACAATAATTCAGCTCATCCCGTTAGCCTGATATATTACCCTGGCACACTACCCTGGCAGCCACCTCAGACAGTGACAGCAATGAAATATATTTAGCTGTAAGGAGAGAGGAACCTGGATGTGGGCTCGTTTTCAAGAGACGTTTGAGGACAGCTGTGAGATGTTGGAGAAAGTCCTGCGAACAAATTGTTTGGTCTTATATTTTACTTTTCCTGAAGTGAGATATGATGTCTGGTGGAGAGGCTGAACAATACTGAGGGATGAGGGTGTGAGCCTTTTCTACTTTATCATCACAATATGCTTTTTAGTATTTTGAAGCTGTCAACTAACATCTATCCAGATTTAAAAGCAGATAAGTAGTTAATGGTAAATGGACTTGAGCTTGTATAGCTATTTTCTGGTCTTCTGACTACTCAAAGCGTGTTTACACCGCATGTCATACCTAAACATATGATTCACGCCCATTCACACACTGATGGCAGAGGCTGCTATGTAAAGTGTTCATCATTATAAACTATTCCTATTCATTCACATTCATACTTCGCCGACGAATCAACTTGGGGTTCAGTGTCTTGCCCAGTGACACATCAGACATGTAGCTGCAGGAGCTGGGGATCAAACCCCTGACCTTCCAGTTGAGAGACGGCCCGACTCCACCACAGAGCCATTAACAACCATCTGATTTAAAAGAGGAAGCACACTGCCCTCTGTTTCTTTCACCTTGCCCATGTGTTGTTTTTTA